CCGGACTGCTACTTCGGACCCGGCTCCCTCATGGCTGGATTTCACTCATCTAAGAGACAATTTCTTCCTATAAATGCTCCACTCCCTTTGCACTAAATTAAACTATTCCTAACACTTTGGCCTCCCACATCTTATCTTCTTATTTTCTGGTTTATAAATACTGGGAAACTTCTATTCTAGATCATCAGGATTGTTTACTTCGTATCCCTCACGGACATGTGACATTTAATCGCACAAACGTTTTAGAAAATGAGACGGGAGCCTCCATTGCTCAGAAATCCACAACAATCCACTGTCCACTTTTGAATCTCTTTCAGGCGTTACTTACGCAGTTAGGTAGAGATCGTCGAAATTCCTTGTGTCAAATTTATGATTAACGCTGGAGTGCATACCATGTTAAACAGATCCGCATTATCGCGGAAGTACCCTTTTACTAGAAAAATTTGGAATTATACTTTCATGCGTTTTATCGCTTTGACGAGCGTGCTTATTTAGTTTGAGTAGCATGATAAAATATTACGCGTTTCATTGATGCATTTTTGCCCAGATATTGTGAGCAGGTAGGCATGCAAGAGAAAAATTCGCTTTAGTTTCAGGAGAATGTCCTAAGAAACCGAGGTTATAATGCTAATAAATAAAGGATTATGGAGTAAGCTAGTTGATATCAACGTATACGAAGAATTACGTTTGCGTTCTTTCCGCATGTGAATCAAACGAAGTGAAGACAATGAGAATTGTACGGTTTCCATAACATATCCTCAAGTTACTCAGTTTTGCATCCAATGTTAATTTGCGTTCGGCCCACAGCGAATGGAAATATTCTTGGGGATAATCGTGAAAGATAATTTCCAGATAGGGTGTATTTTCCTTCTACTTATACTAAAGTCTAAGATGTGTGATTTTGGAATGTAGGCGTCAAGGGTACTTACAAGTCTCCGAATTTTAGCAGAAGGGATTCCACGATGAAAAAAGCATCATATAATTGAGGAGCGAGCAACACTCAGATACCGGCAGAGTGAGTTGGATTTTCATAAACATGCCCAAAAGCAATATCGTTAGCGGATTTATCATGCAGAGAGATATAATGGGACCTTGGAACACTCCACTGTATTCGGGGAAGAGAAGATGACTGCTTCTAAAACGAGATGAAGTGAGTGAGGAAGACAACGTACAAGAAACAATCCGGGCAACAGATCCACACAGTGCGATGTTTGCTGAGGAGAAATTTGCGCAGAAAATAAGTAACAGCAACCGAGCCAACGTAGCAGTAAACAGAGCGATCCACGCATGCCAATGTTTTTGTGCGCATATTGTACAAAACTGTGAAGAAGAAGAGGAGGAAGGCAAGCAATGCCATGCTCAGAAGCATGGATCGAACATACAGTAGCACAGAAGGATTAAGAACCAAAACGTTTTGAATTATCCAGAATGCAACTAATGCGGACAGAACGTCAAGTATCAGACATGTTTGGGTTATTAGAGGAGCTGCTATTAAGATGTCTCATCACAGGCGCTATTTGGGTAAAACAGGATTATCTGAGAAATGGTAAGTCAAAATTCGTCCCGGAGGCTGTTGATCGAAGTATATTTGAAGATGTGCTTCCACAGAGATCATAGGCGCAGGACAGAAGACAGTCGGTAATGATGAAATATCCTTTGCGGAAAAAACTGGAGGGTAAAAAAC